CCATAGAAAATCGATTTTTTGAGTGAAAACATAAAAGTCCATTTATCTTGGAAACTATAAGAGATAGAGCCAAAACAATGATAATCTGTGATCACTTCCATTTCCCATAGAAAATCGATTTTTTGAGTGAAAACATAAAAGTCCATTTATCTTGGAAACTATAAGAGATAGAGCCAACACAATGATAATCTATGATCACTTCTTTTTCTATAAAAAATCGATTTTTTGAGTGAAAACATAAAAGTCCATTTATCTTGGAAACTATAAGAGATAGAGCCAAAACAATGATAATCTGCGATCACTTCTTTTTCCATAAAAAATCGATTTTTTGAGTGAAAACATAAAAGTCCATTTATCTTGGGAACTATAAGAGATAGAGCCAAAACAATGATAATCTGTGATCACTTTTTTTTTCTATAGGAAATCGATTTTTTGAGTGAAAACATAAAAGTTCATTTATCTTGGAAACTATACGAGATAGAGCCAAAACAATGATAATCTGTGATGACTTCCATTTCCCATAGAAAATCGATTTTTTGCGCGAAAACATAAAAGTCCATTTATCTTGGAAACTATAAGAGATAGAGCCAAAACAATGATAATCTGTGATCACTTTTTTTCCTATAGGAAATCGATTTTTTGCGTGAAAACATAAAAGTCCATTTATCTTGGAAACTATAAGAGATAGAGCTAAACAATGATAATCTGTGATCACTTCATTTTCCTATAGAAAATCGATTTTTTGCGTGAAAACATAAAAGTCCATTTATCTTGGAAACTATAAGAGATAGAGCCAAAACAATGATAATCTGTGATCACTTCCATTTTCCATAGAAAATCGATTTTTTGCGTGAAAACATAAAAGTCCATTTATCTTGGAAACTATAAGAGATAGAGCCAACACAATGATAATCTGTGATCACTTCCATTTTCCATAGAAAATCGATTTTTTGCGCGAAAACATAAAAGTCCATTTATCTTGGAAACTATAAGAGATAGAGCCAAAACAATGATAATCTGTGATCACTTCATTTTCCTATAAAAATCGATTTTTTGCGTGAAAACATAAAAGTCCATTTATCTTGGAAACTATAAGAGATAGAGCCAAAACAATGATAATCTGTGATCACTTCCATTTTCCATAGAAAATCGATTTTTTGCGTGAAAACATAAAAGTCCATTTATCTTGGAAACTATAAGAGATAGAGCCAAAACAATGATAATCTATGATCACTTCCATTTCCCATAGAAAATCGATTTTTTGCGTGAAAACATAAAAGTCCATTTATCTTGGAAACTGTAAGAGATAGAGCCAAAACAATGATAATCTGTGATCACTTCCATTTTCCATAGAAAATCGATTTTTTGCGTGAAAACATAAAAGCCCATTTATCTTGGAAACTATAAGAGATAGAGCCAAAACAATGATAATCTGTGATCACTTTTTTTCCTATAGAAAATCAATTTTTTGAGTGAAAACATAAAAGTCCATTTATCTTGGAAACTATAAGAGATAGAGCCAAAACAATGATAATCTGTGATCACTTTTTTTCCTATAGAAAATCAATTTTTTGAGTGAAAACATAAAAGTCCATTTATCTTGGAAACTATAAGAGATAGAGCCAAAACAATGATAATCTGTGATCACTTCCATTTCCCAACTATAACAGATAGAGCCAAAACAATGATAATATGTGATCACTTCTAAAAGAGATAGAGCCAAAACAATGATAATTTGTGATCATTTCCATTTTCCATAGAAAATCGATTTTTTGAGTGAAAACATAAAAGTCCATTTATCTTGGAAACTATAAGAGATAGAGCCAAAACAATGATAATCTGTGATCACTTCCATTTCTCATAGAAAATCGATTTTTTGAGCGAAAACATAAAAGTCCATTTATCTTTGAAACTATAAGAGATAGAGCCAAAACAATGATAATCTGATCACTTTTTTTCCTATAGAAAATCAATTTTTTGAGTGAAAACATAAAAGTCCATTTATCTTGGAAACTATAAGAGATAGAGCCAAAACAATGATAATCTGTGATCACTTCCATTTCCCAACTATAACAGATAGACCCAAAACAATGATAATATGTGATCACTTCTAAAAGAGATAGAGCCAAAACAATGATAATTTGTGATCTCTTCCATTTTCCATAGAAAATCGATTTTTTTAGTGAAAACATAAAAGTCCATTTATCTTGGAAACTACAAGAGATAGAGCCAAAACAATGATAATCTTTGATCTCTTCCATATCCCATAGAAAATCTATTTTTTGAGTGAAAACATAAAAGTCCATTTATTTTGGAAACTACAAGAGATAGAGCCAAAACAATGATAATTTGTGATCTCTTCCATTTTCCATAGAAAATCGATTTTTTGAGTGAAAAGATAAAAGTCCATTTATCTTGGAAACTATAAGAGATAGAGCCAAAACAATGATAATCTGTGATCGCTTGCATTTCCCATAGAAAATCGATTTTTTGAGTGAAAACGTAAAAGTCCATTTATCTTGGAAACTATAAGAGATAGAGCCAAAACAATGATAATCTGTGATCACTTCCATTTCCCATAGAAAATCTATTTTTTGAGTGAAAACATAAAAGTCCATTTATCTTGGAAACTATAAGAGATAGAGCCAAAACAATGATAATCTGTGATCACTTCCATTTCCCATAGAAAATTGATTTTTTGAGTGAAAACATAAAAGTCCATTTATTTTGGAAACTATAAGAGATCGAGCCAAAACAATGATAATATGTGATCACTTCCATTTCTCATAGAAAATCGATTTTTTGAGTGAAAACATAAAAGTCCATTTATCTTTGAAACTATAAGAGATTTCTGATAACCTGTGATCACTTCCATTTCTTTTGATCACTTCCATTTTTTGAGTGAAACAAACAGTGATAATCTGTGATCACTTCCTTTTCCTATAGAAAATCGATTTTTTGAGTGAAAACATAAAAACTATAAGATAAAATTTCTGATAACCTGTGATCACTTCCATTTTCCATAGAAAATCGATTTTTTGAGTGAAAACATAAAATTCCATTTATCTTGGAAACTATAAGAGATAGAGCCAAAACAATGATAATCTGTGATCACTTGCATTTCCCATAGAAAATTGATTTTTTGAGTGAAAACATAAAAGTCCATTTATCTTGGAAACTATAAGAGATAGAGCCAAAACAATGATAATCTGTGATCACTTGCATTTCCCATAGAAAATCGATTTTTTGAGTGAAAACATAAAAGTCCATTTATCTTGGAAACTATAAGAGATAGAGCCAAAACAATGATAACCTGTGATCACTTCCATTTCCCATAGAAAATCGATTATTTGAGTGAAAATATAAAAGTCCATTTATCTTGGAAACTATAAGAGATAGAGCCTTAACAATGATAATCTGTGATCGCATGCATTTCCCATAGAAAATCGATTTTTTGAGTGAAAACATAAAAGTCCATTTATCTTGGAAACTATAAGAGATAGAGCCAAAACAATAATTATCTGTGATCAGTCGTTTTTCCTTCAGAGAATCGATTTTGTGAGTGAAAACATAAAAGTCCATTTATCTTGGAAACTATAAGAGATAGAGCCAAAACAATGATAATCTGTGATCACTTCCATTTCCTATAGAAAATCGATGTTTTGAGTGAAAACGTAAAAGTCCATTTATCTTTAAAACTATAAGAGATAGAGCCAAAACAATTATAATCTGTGGTCACTTGCATTTCCCATAGAAAATCGATTTTTTGAATAAAAACATGAAAGTCCATTTATCTTGGAAACTATAAGAGATATAGCCAAAACAATGATAATCTGTGATCAGTTCTTTTTCCTATAAAAAATCGATTTTTTGAGTGAAAACATAAAAGTCCATTTATCTTGGAAACTATAAGAGATAGAGCCAAAACAATGATAATCTGTGATCACTTCTTTTTCCTATAGAAAACCGATTTTTTGAGTGAAAACATCTTGGAAACTATAAAAAGATAGAGCCAAAACAATGACTATATGTGATCACTTCTTTTTCCTATAGAATATAAATGATTATCTGTGATTACTTTTTTTCCTATAGAAAATCGATTTTTTGAGTGAAAACATAAAAGTACATTTATCTTGGAAACTATAAGAGATAGACCCAAAACAATGATAATCTGTGATCACTGCCATTTCCCATAGAAAATCGATTTTTTGAGTGTAAACACAAAAGTCCATTTATCTTGGAAATTATAAGAGATAGAGCCAAAACAATGATAATCTGTGATCACTTCTTTTTCCTATAGAAAACCGATTTTTTGAGTGAAAACATAAAAGTCCATTTATTTTGGAAACTATAAGAGATAGAGCCAAAACAATGATAATCTGTGATCACTTCCATTTCCCATAGAAAATCGATTTTTTAAGTGAAAACATAAAAGTCCATTTATCTTGGAAACTATAAGAGATAGAGCCAAAACAATGATAATCTGTGATCACTTGCATTTCCCATAAAAAATTGATTTTTTGAGTGAAAACATAAAAGTCCATTTATCTTGGAAACTATAAGAGATAGAGCCAAAGCTATGATAATCTGTGATCACTTCCATTTCCCATAGAAAATCGATTTTTTGAGTGAAAACATAAAAGTCCATTTATCTTGGAAACTATAAGAGATAGAGCCAAAACAATGATAATCTGTGATCACTTCTTTTTCCTATAGAAAATCGATTTTTTCAGTGAAAACTTTAAAGTCCATTTATCTTTGAATTATAAGAGATAGAGTCAAAACAATGATAATCTGTGTTCACTTCTTTTTCATATAGAAAATCGATTTTTTGAGTGAAAACATAAAAGTCCATTTATCTTGGAAACTACAAGAGATAGAGCCAAAACAATGATAATCTGTGATCACTTCTTTTTATTGGAAACTAGAAGAGATAGGACGAAGCAGTGATAATATGTGACATCCTCTTAATATCTAAACAAATTTTAAATTTCTCTTACCGTAATTCTTTTTTCGTTGCACATCTATTGATAGCAACAGTTGCTAAAATATTCTTTAGACTACAAAATAAAACATCATATTGTCCGGATATTAGAATGCCCAATACCATATGGAAACCGCTTGAGGCAGAAAAAGCAGCTGCTACTTGTATTTGACCAACAGATTGAAAAAAATACATCGTTTCATAAATGAACGGTTGCTAAAACAAAATTAAGAAAAGTATAAAATTTAATAAAAATATTTTAATATAAGTGTATGTATATGTATAGTAAACCTTATAATCGAATGGATACCAACAGGCTAACGGTAGACTACGATCGCCATAGGCAATGGGTAAAATAAGCCAAAATATGGTGCCAAGGAAACAACAGTAGACATACGTTTTAATCCATTTATTCGACATGGCCAAACTGCCATCCATAGTCACGTACGTAAATCCTTTTTATGCCATAGAACAAAAAAAAAAAAAACAAGGAAAATAGAGAATAATGTGCAAAATGTACAAGTAACACACATGCAGCATACTTATGTATGTGTGTAGTATGTATTTCCATTGGAAATTGAATGACTGTCTGAACTGAGTACACTTACCAATGGCCGAACGTGTTTTGTACTTTAAATTTATAAAATCAATTAAATCCTCTAGACTTTTTGGTTGCAAACGACGAAAGTACAATTTCATAATGATGGTCCACCAATAAATAATCGTTTGTATTAAACAATTGACCAGCAATTCCAAGTCTCCCTTGTGATAATTCAAATAGATGGTGCACATGTATAAAATCACAATATGAACCGTGACAAAATAGAGAAATAACTCAAATATTAATTCCACTAAAATGCCCAGACCACAGAACAGATGAGGTAAACGACGTTCCAAGTGAAAGGAATACATAGCAGCATAATACATAGTATAACGTATGAAAGAGAAAAGATCTCTACGTTTTACCGTAGCTTCCAAATCTGTCATTATAGAGCGTTGCTTTTCTAAGTTTAAAATTTAATACTGAAATTTTGTATTTAATTTTTTGAGTCCTTTTTATATGATTTTTGTTGAATCTATAGAAAATATTTGGATTTAAAATGGTTTGTATTTAAATTAAAATGATTATTAGTTGTAACACCTCTTAAATAGTTTAAACACTTAATTTTATTTATTTGTAAAACAAAAACTTTATTTGTTATTAATAATGCATGTGTCTGTGTGTTTAATGCGTGCGGCTGTGTATTGGTTTAGTAAATATCCTTTTAATCTAAATTTTATAAATTATATATTAAAACTTATTTTGGGTGATTATAGTTTAGGGTCAATTAAATTGTTGAAAATGTTTTTGTTGTTCTGCATTATTTTCAAAATAAATAATAATAACAAAATGGCTGTGTATTTGTATTAAGCTTCATTTAATAATATTATTCGTATCCTATATTGTACCATAAATATACGATAAACATCGAAATTTTCTATGAGCTAGAGATGTTTGAAAGTTCTATATTAATTATATAATAATAGAGTTGGTGTAATTAGTCTTATACATCTTGAAATTATATTGTAAATTATCCCAAACATCTGGACATATTTGCCCAAGCCCCCACCCATATAGAAAATTAGTTTAATTAGTTAGTGCTACTCGATAAAAACTAGTTTTATAAGAAGAAAAATCCATTTACCATAACTGAGACCAACAAATGTTCAACCCAGAGACCAGTGTATACTTTTCATCAAGTTTTTGGACGCAATAATTTAAAAACCTGATATAATGGAGAAATATCGAAATATCGATATAAGATAATACAATAAAGCATAATTCTAATTAAACCCGATTCATGTTCAAGTATAGGGCCGCTTGCCGAAATTTACAAATACATATTGGGCATTTGTTGCTTTTGATATTCGAATATCAGTTTATGCCATTTAATTGCCTTATGGAGTATATGTATGTATATGATTCTAGAACGTTTGAAAATTATTGATTTTTTCAATCGACAAAATGAACAGACAAATGGACTTTAGTTGTTTTAGTCTATTTTGAATAGCTAGTCAGTGACAACAGGTCAACATAATGAATAATTGGGTCCAATATATACAGCCCACAAGTCGTTTAATTGAAAGGAAAAGCTGTAAGTGATAGTTACCAACATTTACATAATGACCCAGTCCTATGAGTTCTCAGTTTGCTGAAACCATTAACTTTGTCTTACTTTCAGTCACTGCTAAACCCTCTCTCTCGATTCTCGTAAATATAATATCGTTGTCGTTGCATCGCTCAGGACCTTTTCCTTTATGGTAAAAACGTCACATGATAGACTATAATATCCTTGTTCGGTACTAAATGATTCCGAGATGTCTTTTCCAATTTTTTCTTGTACTTATACATCTATAGTTATGTTGAGGTTTCAGTTCTCGGGCATGCACTCATTCCGCCAAACCAAGTAACATCTTCTTGGCTGGGTGTTGTACACTCGACATTGTCATCCATGATCGGTTCGAACGTACTAACGGCACCATCATTAGACAGCAATAGTAGTCTTGAAAAATGCTCTTTCCATATGTTCAACATACCGAATGTATCCGTTACGAGGTTCTCATTTGCCCATCCCTACAGGAGGTGACATTTGAACGGAAGCCTTCCGTTTGATGTTTGACTGTTTGGTAGAATTTCTCTACCTCTATTTCAGCTCTTCTTCAATTTCCTCAGACTCATGTCTTTCCAAATCTCTTTTTTTGTACATCACACATCTTTTCTCCTGGTATTCTTCCCTCACAGCTTGTAATACCACTGATCGCTATAATGCTATCTTCTTCCTATTCTATTAATGTTACTGCATTCTTTGTCATTGGTTTCTTGGGGGGTTGAGTTTTAGTACTCCAGTACAGAGCAACAGCTTTCTCCAGGGAGTGGGCAAAATGTTCTAAATGTGTGTCAATTTCATAAAGTGCTTTACGAAGGTATTTTCGTCCGATGTACAAAAACTTAGTTATGTAAGCTGCGTTCTTCTTCCTAGTAATGTTACTGCATTCTTTATAATTGGTTTCTTGTGGGAAGTTTTTAGTACTCATGTACAGAGTAGCAGCATTCTCCAGGGAGTGTGCAAAATGTTCCCAATGTGTGTCAATTTCATAAAGTGCTTTACGAAGGGATTTTCGTCCGATGTACAAAAACTTAGTTTCTTGGAGGTAGTTTCTTAGAATTTTCCAGTCACTATTTCCCAAGTATTTGGAGTTAATTTCTATGAAAGTTTTGCAATGACGAAGAAAGAGTTCTATGATTTCACAGTCATTTACGCATGCTCTACATTTGTCTGATTCCAATCGTCTAATTCTGTATAATTGTACCCGTAAGCAAGCCTATGTATACATTCAGAATCCTGTGTATACAAATCACCTCGAACTTGCTCATTCTCAGGAAGCCTTTTCCGTGTAAAGATAAGAGCCATTCATCTGTAGGTGCAGCCTCATATTAAGGTTTCAATTGGGGGATTATCCGGTAACGTTTTCAGACCCTCATGACCCCTCTTATACCCAAGAAAGAAGTACGCTGAACTTAATATTGTCGTTTTATATTATACTTTTTTATCTAAAGAAGTCCTTTAGATTAGACAGGCCAATAAAATTTAAAAAAATAGAATCATCCAATTTTTGAGATATCGTGTCCTAAATTTTGAAAAACCCCCGTTTTCCCCATGCATCATTTATTACTACAACGCGAAGACAAGATCTTACATCCTTCTTATATAGAACTAGAACCAATCTCTACCCCCCAAAAAAAAAAACAATAAGACTAGTGTTCCCTCGGTGTTTCTCTCATAAGAGGCTTGTGCCCTCTAATTTTATTATATTATATTCATCTATATTCATATGATCTAGCTTATAAAAAAATTACAAATGGACTGACAAACTAATATACATACATGAAGTTTTATCACTCTGCTGGGCCGGTATGTGAAAACCTTTCCCAACATTCAAGTGGGTTGACCTCATATTTAAAACTAATGTGAACATTGAAATAAAAGTTTTCAATAGTTTTATAAAAATGTTCACATTATGTCCCATTAAATTAACTGCTGTAAACGCCTAAAACTATTTCTAAATAAAAATTATTTATTTATAATGCAAATGATGCTGAAAATAGAAAACATTATTTCATTACTTGTTTATTTTAGTGGATGGAGTTAATGTTAAGGACAGTAGGAACAATTATATGCATATGAAAACCCACTATGGAAACTTTGGTAAATTTTGGACTGTACATCTCAAAATTTTAAAGAGAAATTGAAGCAATTTGTTACACTTTGTTCCTCAACTAAGAGATTTCCGTCTATAGAAGGTCTTCAAAATCGAAATTAATAAAAAATCTGATTTACTTAATTTCGTTTGAAGACGAATTTCGTTTGAAGAAGTACTCCTAGACTGTTAACGGACTAAGAAAATTTTTGCTGATATCGGTCAGTTTGACCTTATCCATCATTTTACCTAGCTTTGGAGTTCATAATTATACTAAATCCCTTAAAAACAATGTCAAAAGTTTCATATAAGCCGATTTTCATAATGATCGGATGTCATATGAATCTCACCATCATTTAAAGTCTCATTGAGAATATACCTTGAGCGTATAAACATAAATGCCTTCGCCATAGTTTATGAGGATTGTATAATATAAAGCCTTTTCAGAAATTATATTGCTTAAATTTCTACATATATGGGAATTAAGGTAAAATTTCACGGCTATTGTTTCTTACTTTTTTATTGTTTCACAAAACTTATTAAAAAACAACGCAGACCCGGAAAGTATTTCGGTGTTGTGCCTTTAACTTATCAAAATTAGTTACTAATTTAAAGGTACTGCTTGCATGCCTAGTTTTAACAATTTTTAGGGCCTGTCAGAAAACGTCAGTTTTCTTAAACATAAGTTTTTTCATTAGTTTCTTTCTTATTAATTGACTTTCAGTTTCAAGTTAAAAATTAATAAGGTACTGACGCAGTTTAATATGCATTTTTTGTCACTTCCTTACGATAAGTACAGGTCGCTAAGCCATCTATACGCCTTACAGCATTATAAAGAAGGAATGATAATCGTTAAAAATGATTTACAGCATGGGCATAGGATTTAATAAATCAGTGCTAACAAATCTTAATATTAACATATTAATAATTCTAAGCTGAAGGGTACATAAGATTCGACGTAGACAAATAAAGCATTCAAAGTTCCTCGTATTTTGTACACAGGGATGTGTATTACCTTTGAAAAAGGGCTGATTTTTAATTAGTTTTCCTTCTTTTTCCATAAGCTTTAGTAGAAAGCTTAATTTATTTTTAATTGTATCAAACATTTGCAAAATCTTTATCAGCTGCAATAAAGTACTTTTGATTTAATTGCCAAAGTTTATTAGTTCCTTTGAGATTGTGTTGAAAAAGTTAAAATTATCCAGGTTATAGTGATAAAATTTATAGCAGCAAAGGCATTCGGCACATGGTGAAAGGTTGAACACCTAACTAACAAATTTAATTTAACAATTTTACCAGCCATTTAACTAAGTAATATATGTATTACATCAGGGTGAAAAGTAATACGGTAATATGCTAACTAACTAACTAACTAACTAACTAACTAACTAACTAACTAACTAACTAACTAACTAACTAACTAACTAACTAACTAACTAACTACTAACTAACTAACTAACTAACTAACTAACTAACTACTAACTAACTAACTAACTAACTAACTAACTAACTAACTAACTAACTAACTAACTAACTAACTAACTAACTAACTAACTAACTAACTAACTAACTAACTAACTAACTAACTAACTAACTAACTAACTAACTAACTAACTAACTAACTAACTAACTAACTAACTAACTAACTAACTAACTAACTAACTAACTAACTAACTAACTAACTAACTAACTAACTAACTAACTAACTAACTAACTAACTAACTAACTAACTAACTAACTAACTAACTAACTAACTAACTAACTAACTACTACTAACTAACTAACTAACTAACTAACTAACTAACTAACTAACTAACTAACTAACTAACTACTAACTAACTAACTAACTAACTAACTAACTAACTAACTACTAACTAACTAACTAACTAACTAACTAACTAACTAACTAACTAACTAACTAACTAACTAACTAACTAACTAACTAACTAACTAACTAACTACTAACTAACTAACTAACTAACTAACTAACTAACTAACTAACTAACTAACTAACTACTAACTAACTAACTAACTAACTAACTAACTAACTAACTAACTAACTAACTAACTAACTAACTAACTAACTAACTAACTAACTAACTAACTAACTAACTAACTAACTAACTAACTAACTAACTAACTAACTAACTAACTAACTAACTAACTAACTAACTAACTAACTAACTAACTAACTAACTAACTAACTAACTAACTAACTAACTAACTAACTAACTAACTACTAACTAACTAACTAACTAACTAACTAACTAACTAACTAACTAACTAACTAACTAACTAACTAACTAACTAACTAACTAACTAACTAACTAACTAACTAACTAACTAACTAACTAACTAACTAACTAACTAACTAACTAACTAACTAACTAACTAACTAACTAACTAACTAACTAACTAACTAACTAACTAACTAACTAACTAACTAACTAACTAACTAACTAACTAACTAACTACTAACTAACTAACTAACTAACTAACTAACTAACTAACTAACTAACTAACTAACTAACTAACTAACTACTAACTAACTAACTAACTAACTAACTAACTAACTAACTAACTAACTAACTAACTAACTAACTAACTAACTAACTAACTAACTAACTAACTAACTAACTAACTAACTAACTAACTAACTAACTAACTAACTAACTACTAACTAACTACTAACTAACTAACTAACTAACTACTAACTAACTAACTAACTAACTAACTAACTAACTAACTAACTAACTAACTTACTAACTACTAACTAACTAACTAACTAACTAACTAACTAACTAACTACTAACTAACTAAACTAACTAACTAACTAACTAACTAACTAACTAACTAACTAACTAACTAACTAACTAACTAACTAACTACTAACTAACTAACTACTAACTAACTAACTAACTAACTAACTAACTAACTAACTAACTAACTAACTAACTAACTAACTAACTAACTATCTAACTAACTAACTAACTAACTAACTACCTAACTAACTAACTACCTAACTAACTAACTAACTAACTACCTAACTAACTAACTAACTAACTAACTAACTAACTAACTAACTAACTAACTAAACTAACTAACTAACCTAACTAACTAACTAACTAACTAACTAACTACTAACTAACTAACTAACTAACTAACTAACTAACTAACTAACTAACTAACTAACTAACTAACTAACTAACTAACTAACTAACTAACTAACTAACTAACTAACTAACTACTAACTAACTAACTAACTAACTAACTAACTAACTAACTAACTAACTAACTAACTAACTAACTAACTAACTAACTAACTAACTAACTAACTAACTAACTAACTAACTAACTAACTAACTAACTAACTAACTAACATCAAATCCGATGTTCAGAAACTAAGTTTCCCCTACGCAATTCCAAAAGCAGAGAAAGTTCTCCACAGTTTCATTCTGCTCTCTGCATGATCTACATTCATCTACATTCATCCAAAAGCAGAGAAAGTTCTCCACAGTTTCATTCTGCTCTCTGCATGATCTACATTCATCTCAATCCGCACGCACATATGTAGCTGTGTATAGCTCTGCCCGTTATCCTGTGTGTCCACTCAGAATACGTACCTAAGATTTGCTTATTTTGGGGAGTTGTAAACCTTACCTCTGGGAAAGTATTCGGTTAGAGTTTTCTGACAATCCAATGTGGTCTTTGACTTAACTATATAAACTGACATCGCCCTAATTTCCTTCCTGTCGGTAAATTTGTTATGCCCTGTCGTTACAACATTTATTCGAATCACGTTTGGTGTATAATTTATCAAATTTTGAACTTTATTCCTGGAGGACATTTGCATGGGACAAGAAGCAAGAAAGCGGATGCTCATTTTCAATACCAATCCTCAAACCTCTTTAAAGACTACTTTGCCCTCCGCCTTGCTGTGTTATCAAGACGGAATTTACTGTACTGTCTTAGAATCTTACAGGGTCCCAGAATATACATACATATGTGAAAAATTTTGATACATACATATATAGTTTAAAGTTCTAAAACTATTATTTTATAAACTATCATGCTACATTTTCTTAGAATCTTATAGAGGTCCAGAATATTTATTTATACTTTTGAAGGTCAATGACCTATATTTCAATTTGATAGAGTGAAAAAACTCTCCCTAAAGTAAGTTCACCATGAAATAATTAAACGATTCAAAGACATGGTTTCCCGAAGTGAATTGTACCTTAAATACCATAGTAATTAAATACCATAGTAATATGTACTAAATAAAATCTTTGTCTTTATCTCTCTTTCTCTTTATCTCTTACATTTAGTTGGCAAATGTTATTTAAACTTGTTACAAGTAGTTAAAAGGATTTGCATAAGGATTTCAATGTCCTCCATTTAATCGGATGTACGACTTTATATCCACATTTTTTTTACAACAGTCAAATACATAGCATGTATGTGTATGTGTAGGTTAGTTGATGACGACCATCATGTATGCATATGAATGCGTCACAAATGGAAATGTGCATAAAAAGTGGTTTAACTCATCACCAGGACATTTGTAATTAAAACAAAGTTTATTTAAATTGCTAACTACTATTATATGTACATTTACTATAGATTTTATATTCATGTGCATTTTATGTGCAATATTTATTCATTATGTTTAGAACCATTTACATTTGTTGAGTAAATCGAAAAGTAAAATTAAATAGGGCAGCCGATAATGGGGTCATCATGTTTTTGTAGAATTTATTAAATTTATAGTTTTTGCGATTTTTAAATAAATGTGTTAGGATTGTTTGTTTTGTACGTACATACATATGTATGTACTATGTATATGAAGGGTCCTTTTCATTTCTGAATAGAATGACAACAATTTGTTTTGTGCTTTTCACTGCAGCTACTTTTGACAGTTGAAATGCTGTTGATGTTTTTTCGATTTTTAAATATTACTTTAGCATTTTAAAGGATTTTTTCATTATTTTATCTATTTTCATTTTTAGTTTTTTTTTTTGCACTGAACGTCAATGAATGTCATTGTGCATTTTTTTTATCTGTTTCGCTAAGGACATTAGCGCCACCAAATGTCAATCAGATGAAAATATATTTTTAATGAATCTTTAAACATACTGAGCTGCTGCAAAATATAAAATGGGGGACATTTTTAGCCATGACCCTCTCTCGAAATTATAATGATTCAGGCGTGAAACCTCGAATCCCTCTTTTATAAAATTACTAGCTAAATAAAAACCCAACTTATAAGTTTTGAAGACTCTAATTGTAGTAGTTTCCCAGATATACGAATTTTTGTATTTAATTCATATGGGAAGTGTCACGCCCCCTATTATTAGTCCACTAATTTATTACCCAACTATTCACATGGATGTCAAAGTTCTTCCTGTAAAATTTTGAATATTCTAGATCTAATAGTTTCCCAGATAATTAATTAATTCATATGGAATGTGACACGCCCCCTATTGCTAGTTCGGTAATTTAGTACCCAAATGTTTACATAGATGTTTTAATTGTTGATGAAAAATTTGAGGATTTTAGTTTATTAGTTTCTTTCTTAAATGTTCACATGCATGTTAAAGTTTTTCAAGCTTAATTTGAGCATTATTTTGCATGGCTCTAATAGTTTCCCAGATAAAAGAAATTTGTGAATTTAATACATATGGGAAGTGCCACGCCCTCTATTGTTAATCCGCCCATTTTTGATGTAATATATGCTTAAAAGTAACATTTGTATCTGCTTGGGTATAAGTAGTGCCATGTGTACTACTTCAACCAAGACTCTGGAAACGATGCTAGATATTCCACCCATTGAAACAAATTTAAGATATGAAGAGGCGCAAAATTGTACGTGCGGATAGAGAAATACATTCTGAATTTGAGAATATTTTTGGAGTAATTGAAAGATGTTCCATAACGTGGTTTGTTTCAGTATATGCTGAACTCCACAGAATCACCACCAGCAAAAAAAATGCCTTATTTACTCCAGCTCAAACAGGTTTTGTTTACGATGCTTTAAAAGTCTTATTTTATCGGGTTTTTAAGCACGATAGGTCTTGAAATTGTAAAGAAATAAGTTTTAAAGGAAAAAGAAAGATCAATACATTTGCATTAACATTTGAAAATAACATCAGCATAAACTAGTGGATCTACAGGAAATAATCGAGATGTTCTCTCGAAAAAAATTTATCTCCCAATTTTCATTTTAATCGTCATTTTCTTAAAACCATTTTTTCAAATAAAAACATCATTGATCATGCAGCCTTAACGATCTTCATTGATCGCAAGTTCTATCGGGCCTTAAAAAACACTCGATATCATTTTCGATCTCTTCATTTAAACTACACTTTTCTTATTTTATTTATTTGGTCAATTTTATTTAGAATTATATAAAAAAACATAAACTTTATGAGAAAAATAATGGAAAACTCTTGAGTAAAATATGAAAAATGAAAGGAAACAAAATGAAAGCAAATGCAATACCCACGAATAAGTATGCAATACTTTTACCTTTTTAATAAAATTAAAAACAAATATTTAAAATTGTAAAAAAAAAATATTATGTAAACACAAATTAAGCTATAATACGAAATGAGTTCAAATAATCGCGAATACTATGCGAATATTCTTAAATAAAAAGCGATAACGAAACATTTTGTTCAATTGAAAATATTATAAAATATAAAAATAATTATAAAAAATAACCACCGAACGAAACGTAAGAGCAGTACGTATAATCTCAAATATCTGAGGTCTAAAGCGAAGTTTAACGTTATGGCTTTTCTACCCAATTACATGTCGAGCTTAATCGATATTCAATTGCCTGAAGGTGCCCTCCATGCCAAAGAGATCATCACTGGTCTTGGGTGAACCGGGACGCAAGGCTTCATTGGCCTTTTGTTCTTCTTGTTCCTTAAACCAGGTGGTGTATTCACCCAATTTCTTTTTCCACATTTGAGTTAACTCAACAATGGAACCGGCCTTGCCACCATATTCCTCGGGCAGCAAATCTTTGGGTACCGATTTATATAAACTTTCCATATCATTGTGGAAGGTAATACGATTGATGATCTTCTCCTTAACGAAGGGCTTGACAAACTTAAAGATGGTATCGACCAGAGGCGAAATGTTAATGACATGAACTTCTTTAACCTTAACGGGATAAGCTTCTTGAACACAAATCAAGAATTTCTTAACAACAGCAGGAGAGAATTTGGCAAAGTGAGTTGCTGTGGCAACGGCAGCATCCAAAATGAAAATATCACCGGCAATGCCGACGCTCTCCTCCAACAAACGAACATCACCAATCATAAGGGCAACTTTCATGGCATCATTTACTTGGCTGGGTTGGAAATCACAATCGATACCGCGTATAAAAGTAATGCGGCGACCGTTAGGAGTCAAACCGGGCAAGGTAGGGCAGTGTCTATAAAAGAGAAAGGAAAGTAAATAACATATTTACGATTATCGGGATGAATTCATCTTTAACTTACACATAATCCAACACTATAGACAATTCCTCACGATTGATGTCACGATTTGAAAAGAACTCGGGTATAGCATTACGCATGGTATAGTACATGTCCAACTTCTTTTTCACCTTTTCCAAACTGAATTTGCAACCACGCAAAAATGTACGCAAACGACCATCATCCATGTCTTTGGGCAAATGAGGTTGTGTGTCCAACCATTCGCGTATTAATTTAATATCGCGCTCAATCTCCTCGGCATTTTCGGGTTCACGCAATTCTTCGCGAATGGTAACACGTTGTTGAGGTGTGGGTTGTACGAGCATCATCTGTAATTGAAAAGAATTAAAAGTAAAATTAATATTTTGTTAATTTTGAAGTTTCAAATGCTTGATCTGAAAATAAATTGTGTATGTGGCAACTATTAGATATTTTCTTTGGTCTTACAAGTTATCAGTTTATTGTGAATGACAACAATACAGTTTACAATCTACTACTTTAATTGTGAGCACCACTAATATTTATTTATTATTTATTTATTTAAAAAATAAACGAGAGTAAACCTTTAAATGTATTTCAACAAATTAGTTTAACTTTTAGAAAACTTAACATGTTTATTTAAGTATATTTGCCAATATTAAATAAATGTTAACAAAAGTTTATTGGGTAATTGATTGTTTACAAAATTTTCTAGACATTATGACTATGAATGAATTTTTATTGCAACGCTTCAGTAGTTTTTAAAATTGTTACTTTTTGACTTAATTTCTTTAGCTTTACACGTAATAATATGTTATGTTTATATATATATATATATATATATATATATATATATATATATATATATATATATATATATATATATATATTTACGTAAGATGTCTGTATATAATGTATTTTATGATGTAAAACAATTTAAAATAATTTAATTTTTTTTATAATTTCTTTAATAAAAAATGTATGTTTCAAATAGATATGATCTGACTACAGACCGCATCTGAAGTTTAGAAAGTTGGAGTAAATGTTTTATTAATATCCAAAGTTTTTTATATCACGTTTAAACTATACATTTTTACACGTAGGTATGTCGTAAAGATATTATTAGCAAAAGCTTTATATCTTTATGATTATGAAAATTTTGAATCGACATCCAATAAAAATGAAATATTATTCAAAATAAATAGAAAGTCGTTACGTATTCCTTCTCGGGTGGAGGTAAACATTGCCAAAATATTGTGTAAACATGGGAAAAGTGTTAAGCTGTAGGAGTCAAAATATTGGATCTTTGTTCAGAAACATATTTGTAAACAAACGGTGGGTTTTCAATCCAATCCGCAATAAACCGCACCAAACTATGCAATTTTCTGGAAGTAATGGAATCTATAGGGTCTATTGTAAGTTGGTATCACTAAAAATATTGGATCTTTGTTTAAAAACATATTTGTAAAGAAACTGGGGTTTTCAGGATGAAATTAATACTCAATCCAATCCGCAATAAACTATACCAAGCAATCAAGTTTCTGGCAGTAATGGAATCTGTAGGATCTTCTGAAAATTGGTCTCACTGCCTATGGACAAATTTCGTTTATTAGCAAACCCGTCAAGCTAAAAATTAGCCTCATCGTTTTAACATAAAATATCGGGTTAATTAAAGTAAATTTAAATAATTTGGAAGCGTTCTTCATGAGTCCATCTATTCTAAATGAATACTGATTAAGTATCAAAAAGTGGACGTGGTATGATGGTTTGTTTGACCTGGTATCTTAGCAGTGATTCAAAGTTTATTAACTGAGTTACTACTTGTAAAATTTAGCCATATATTCGGTCTGTATTAATCAATAAATCTCTTCAAAATTTTCGGGATTAAGTTATCGAATCAAATGTTGCAAATGGCGTTAATATAATATTTCTTGAGATATATGTATAGTTGAGACAGTAGATCTGTGTTTTAACTTCTATAATTAACTTGAACTAATATTCAATGTAATCCGAAACAAACCATATTACAACTTTTAAATCGTGTTTTCGTTTTAAGCCCAAATTTTAGAACATATTTACAACCCTGCGAGACTTTTCCAAATATTATCTTTATGAATAGGAGATTGTTTATATTGTTGTTGTAACAGTTGATCTATAGTTCCAGATGAAAAACTTGATGTCGCTACAGTTATCATAGATTCGACAATCTTTAACCAACTGTGACTTGGGACGTTTCAGAACCAAAATACATTTCTCGTGAGAAAGGGAGATTGTTAATTACTGACATTTTTCTTAATATTTTTAAAATATTTATCTATTGGCCGAATATTAAGTCGGCTTCTTAAATATGAAAAGCATATTACAACAAGCCTAGAAGAATTCTTGATTAGTAGTATCACTGTTACTCGTGAGTATTCGCGATTAATTTTCTTACTCTATATACATATATGAATAAGAGGGATCTATTTTAATTTATATTAAAAAGAACTAATTTCAGAAAGAGTCCACCTAATTTTATAGTTTGTAGTCTGGTATAGCTCGGACTCACGAATATTCGCGACTATTTTTTTAATAAAATAATTCATTAGAGATTCGGAACCGATTTGTATATAAAAATAATAATTTTGCTTGTCCTAATTCCATGGAATACCATTTGGTCTCACTCCTCTTATAGTCCAAAAATGTATCCGTTCTACTATTTTCTATATCGATCGATGCAGAATGCTCTGTTTAGGAGAGGTATTTGAAATTGGCTTGATTCATTCTTGACCTCAAAAGATGAGTCGTTCTTTTGGAGTGGAAAAGGCTATAGCTAACTATATCCAAAAAATCCGCATTTTGAACAATTTAATTAACATTGAGTCACATTGGACTCTAGCCCTCATGTTAGTTTCCATTCGAAAAATATATTTAACATTCACAACTTGATTCAAAATAGCAGAAATATTTTCGTTAAGAACAAAAAACTAATAATTTATTATTAATCCACGCGTAACCAGTAGCTGATTAATTTCATGTATAAATAAATTAATTAAATATAAACATTTACACGAATTAATTTGTTAAATCAACTCAAAAACCCAACGAAGCATACTTGACATTTTAAGAAAAGAAATAAAAAAAACCAAAAAACACTTCCGCAACACTGCTACTTGCTATTCATTAATCATTTTAAATTAATGAAAGAAAAACTAAACAAAAAAATTTTAAATTTTTATTAAAAAAATCTAAAAAAAATAAACAGAAAAGCAAAAAATATTTAAATTTAACCCACTGACCCAAACACAGAACTAGCTACTTCACAGCACTTCAACTCGACTAGCAGTATGCTGCTGATAGTTGAAAACTTTCAGCTAAATAGCGTAGCTAAATAGTAACTAAATGAGTTTTGATTCTTTTTGCTGTTAAATACAAGATTTTATTGTTGTGCTTTTAAATTGGTTTCAAAATAAAGTTCAGTTAACATTATATGCACACATTTTCTATTTTAGTTATTTTTGCCACTTGTTATGGAAAATTTGTTTAGCTCTTACTTCCAATTCCATTTACAATAAAAAAATAACTTTTAAACAAATTGAAAATGTAAATAATAAAACCAAAAACAACATTTCATGTTGTTTTTGTTGCTAATGTTATGAATTTAAAAATATTTGTATGAAGCCAACGAATATAAGAGCAAAAACAATCTAAAGATGCTAAATTTAACTTTTTATTTGGTCTTGTTAAAATAAACAAGAAAATTTACATAAATTTAAGACTTCTTCTAATTCTTGTCTCTCTTTTTGGGCAATACATATTTAAATAAATTTTATAACAATAGCAACAAAATAAATAAAATGTTGTTATAAATAAATTATTTAAATAATTTAGCAAACATGGCCAAGAATCATTATTAACATAATTCATTTAATGGATGATTCATGGAGACTTGTTTTCAAAAATGAAGAAGATTGATTTAATAAAATTTTTAACGGGGGCTTTATTAATATATATTTTAAAGATATCCTAAGATTAAGTTAATATAGTAGTACAGGTCTAGTTTAAGTTTATAGACTCATCAATGGATTAGTTTATATACTAGTCTATGGAACAGTATATGTACTGGTATATTCAATGGACTTTTCTTTGGACTTGTGTATTGGCTAGTTTTTGGTCTAGTCTATGAAATGGAATATTGACTAGTATATGGACTAGTACTTGGACTAGTGTATTTAATACTCTATTGACTAGTTAATCGAGTAGTCTATTGACTAGTTAATCGAGTAGTATATTGACTAGGTCATCGACTAGTATATTGACTAGTTAATCGACTAGTCCATTGACTAAATAATCCACTAGTCTATTGACTAGTGTATCTATCAGTTCATAAACTAGTCTATCGACTTGACTATTGACAAATCTATTGACTAGTTAATCCACTAGTCTATTGACTAGTTAATCGACTAGTTTATTAACTAGTGTATCTACTAGTTCATAAACTAGTTTATCTACTTGACTATTGAGTAGTCTATTAACTAGCCTAAGAACCAGTTTATGAACTAGTCTATGAACTAGCCTAAGGACTAGTCTATGGACTGGTCTATGTATTAGTCTTTAAACTAGTCTAAAGACCAGTCTATGGATTAATTTATGGACTAGTCTAGTATATAGACTTGACTATTAACTATCCTATGGACTAGTCTAAGAACCTGTTTATGGATTAGCCTATGGGATACCCTCTGGACTAGTCTAAAGAACAGTCTATGGACTAGCCTATTGTCTAGTTTATCTACTACTCTATTGACTAGTTAATCGACAAGTTTATCGACTTGGCTATTGACAAATCTATTAACCAGCCTATTGATTAGACTTGGGACCAGTCTATAGACTGGTCTATGAACTACCTTATGGATTAATCTATAGACTAGTCTTTGGAATAATCAAAGACCAGTCTATGGATTAGTTTTTGGACTAGTTTATCTTCTACTATATTGGCTAGTTTATCAAATAGTCTATTTACTAGTTTATCCACTAGTGTATGGACTATACTTATAGACTTGGCTATAAACTTGACTATTAACTAGTCTATGATCTAGCCTATGGACTGGTCTATGTACCAGTCTATGGACTAGTCTTTGAACTAGCCTATAAACTACCTTATTGATTGGTCTATGGAATAATCTAAAGACCAGTCGATGCATTAGTTTTTGGACTAGTTTATCGATTAGTCTATTGACTAGTGTATCGAATAGTCAATTTACTAATTTATCCACTAGTGTATGGACTAGTCTACAGATTTGACTATTAACAAGTCTATGATCTAGCCGACGAACTGGTCTATGAGACCAATTTATGGACTATTCTATGTACT